AGAAATGTCCACTGCAATGGCAAAAATATTTCCACTTGCACTGTGTCTCTGAAAGTGATGCATGAGTTCAATTGGATTATGGCTTTTTAATGTATTAAAACCAAGGAAAACCCAGTTTTGATGTATGAATCACTTTTTTTTTGTAAACATGGTTAAAATAAAACTTTTATGATTCTTCTGAATCTGAATATTTTAAAGCCAGATGAAAATCTAAACTAGATAGTCTCTGTTGGAAGATACAAAGGTCATTCTTTACTAGCTTTTAGTTCCTCAGTTAGAGCTGACTAAGCACTTGTTTTGGTCAGCAACACACTCTGGAAATACTCATACTTCTTGGGAGTCTGACCTAAGTATCTATCATTCATTACGTGTACGCAGTTAACAAAAAGCATTCTAGACCATGAAGAAGTCTGTTACGCAGCTTGTTTCATTAAGTAGTCTTTTGTTTAAGATATGAAATGATGCAAACCAAATGGGTTTTTCCACGTCATGATAGAGTTTTTCTTTCTTTTTCCTTCTTTTTTTTTTAATTTTAGCAGTTCTATTATTTTGCTTTACATAAATCAAAGTAACTAACTCTTGCTAATGTTTACTTTAAGAGGTAACATGTCAAAAGGTTAAACTTACAGCTATCTTTTAAGGGCTATTCATGTAAGCTGAGTTCTTCCCTTATTTTCAGCTTTTTCCTAACATAAAAATCAATATGCATGATGTATGCTTCATAGGATCATTCTTCATCTTGAATTCATGGAGAAGATATCTGAATTCACATGCTGAAGTTATTTTGCTGTAATTAAACTGGCTATAGTTTTTAAAAATGTGACACTAAAAAAATGATGGTTTTTTTTCTGCTCTTGCTGCTTGACAGGCAGTAAGAAACAGTGGTTGTTGCTTCATTAGTAGTTTTCCAAGGTGGCAGTTTTGTGGTAGATGTAGGAACACATTTCAACAGCCATGGTACTATTTGTTTTACCACTAATGATTGCACTATTTACTTTTTTTTTAAGAGTTGCAAAGCTTTTTAATGCATAAAATCATAATTGAAATTAGCGATTTTTATTTACAAACGTCTACAAAATATGTTACAGCTTGTTATTTTTAGTTAAATTGCTTAATGCACAGAGAACTCCCAACCTTGCTCGTCTAAAGAAGGAAAGACTTGGTATATAGCCTGATGGTTCAGTCTTGTGGATTACTGTCTCTTTGGTACTGGCATTTGACATATGACATAATCTGTGAAAATAGATGATATTGACAAAATGAGACTCCTACCTCAATAGTTGTTGAATAATAAAAGACCTAGCGTTGTGTCTAATAGTCTTCAAAAAAGTAATATCCTCACTTGGAGAGTGTCAAATATATACATATTTCAGGATTGACTTGTACAAGTTGCCCTCTAGGACTCAGTTATACATATTTTTGACTGACCCGTGTTATTTATAGTGGCTAGATAATTCTGCCTTTTTAGAGCAAGAACAGTATCTGTTAATGTAAGGAACATCTGTATTTAACTTCTTTGTAGACATAAATTTCTATCAAAATGTTCTTTGCACTGTAACAGAGATCTCTTTTTCAACAATCTTATTTCAGAAAGCATTCTTAGACAGAAGCATGTAAATGATTTGATAATCTCCCAGTCCTTAGTAAGATTGAGAGGCTCGAGCAGTTTTCAGTTTTCAATCAATCCACTATCAATCTCAAATGTGAGTTTGGGACTGCTTGGCAGCATTGTATATTTCTTATTCAGAACCATTGATGCGGCTCTATTTTTAAACACACTAGTCTTCTGACAGAAAGCTCTGTACGTTGTATTGTTTCTTCCTTTCCCAAGTTAGCCTTCTGTCTTTGTGACAAAAATGTACTTTGATTATTGCTATAAAGATGGAGGAAAAGGTCTAATACTGCTTAGCCTTAAGTGTTTCTGGCATTGTTCAAATGTATTTTCTGTAACAGAAACATATCTGGAATGTTTTTCTTTTCCCCTTATAAATTGTAATTCCTGGAATACTGCTGCTTTAAAAGGTCTCACAGTCAGATTATATGATCTAACAATTGAATATTGTAAATACATTTGTCTTACCTCTCAATAAAAGGGTACTTTTCTATTCATTGGTGGTTGTCTTAGTCAGCTCGGGCTGCTGTAGCAAAATCCCATAGACTGGGTGACTTAAACAACGTTTATTTCTCATGGTTCTGGATGCTGGCAAGTCCAAAATCCAGGTGCTGACAGAATCAGTTACTGGTGAGGACCCTCTTTCTGGCTTGCAGACAACTTCCTTCTCACTGTGTCCTCACATGGTCAAGAGAGAGCACGAGCAAGCTCCAGTTTTTCTTCCTCTTCTTAGAAGGACACTAATCCCTCCATGGAGGCCGCATCTTCATAGCCTCATCTAAACCTAATTACCTCCCAAAGGCCCCAGGTTCAAATATCATCATAGTAAGGGTTAGGGCTTCAACACAGGAATTCTGGGGAGACACTAGTCCTCAACAGTGCTCAAGTAGATCTTTATTATGAAATTCTAAATTCTGAAAATTAACTTAGCATTACACAGTATCCCACCTCATTTTTTAAAAATTAGCCTTATGTGAAATTTTCTTTTATATAAGATGGTCATCGCATCTTTTCTTTCCATCTGCCACCTGTATCCCTGTAGGAGGTTGGACACAGAAGTAGCATGTCCCAAATCCTTCATTGGCTGACACACTTGCACGACCTTACCTTTACTAGCTCTCAAGACCTAAAGGTCACCCCTGTTGTATCTTTCTTGACCCACTAGGTCAAAACAGCTGGTTTTTCTTTGTCCTCTCATAGAACTTTGCATTAGTTTGTATTTATTCGGTCATAAAAAGATTCTTGAGGTTCAAAGCCTTATGTAAAAGCAAGATGGAAAGATATCAGCCGATGAATGAGGAGTTTTATTTTGGATAGCAGGCCTTCTTGGTGCCTCTAAAGCCCCTCCTGAAACTGGTAGCCTTTTGGGGAAATTACTTCTTCCACCTATTTGTGAGACAACTGGCTATGGGGCCGACTGGCCCTGGCACAGAATAAAGCCAAAGTAGGAGATTGAACCCCATGACCTCATTCATCCTACACCAAAATCCTCTATCATCAAAGAAGTAATTTGGATATTTTAGTATCATAATAACCATATTATCCATGTAATCTTATCCCAAGATAGGAGCTATTTTCTATGTGAATGCCATAATCACTGACTTTGTAAAAATACAGTTTAAATAGTGACAGTTATTGTTTAAATGGGGCCAGAGCGCCACCCACTCAACTGTTTAGATACCATCAGTGACACAGGCAAAATGTTCTTCATTGAGTATGCCTTTAAAAATGGTTTAGGGTCCAATTTGTTCAATGCCCACTGCCTGATCATGTCAGCAGAATAAAATTCAATGGTTTTATCCATTAACTTTTTTATCAGTAACTTTTCTTGGCCCATCTCTAGGTTTAGATCTGTAAATATTTTAAAATTTTGTAATTCAACAAAAACATTTTATTGAAAGTCAATGCCCTTTTAGAACAAACGCATTCTGGCATGTTACTTTTGATAAGACTGCAATATTGATAATATGTCAAAACCATTCTCTTCACTTGTGCATATTATGCTGAAAATGGCAGCTTTGACGTAAAACATCTGCTTGTGAATTCATTAGCTAAACTGTTACAAACAAACCACACTCATTTATTTTTCCTTAAAATTGTAAATTCAAAACATGATTTTACTGGCAATTCACTTTCCTGTCCCTCCTTCTAAAACCTTTCTGTGTTTTTGGTATGGAGAGCAGAAAAAGGCATTTTACTCGTTTATTAGGTAACATAGTAATTAGACTACACTTATGAGTTCATTTAAAAGATAAACACTTGCATAATTTTATTTCCTTTATTGCTCTCTTTCAGAAATTGCTACAATCCCTTGAAATTAAATCCTAAAATCTAACATTTAAAGGAATTTAAAATTTTACCCAGTTTTGGTGTTAAACTTTTTTTTTTTTTTTGAGGAAGATTAGCCCTGAGCTAACATCTGCTGCCAATCCTCCTCTTTTTGCTGAGGAAGACTGGTCCTGAGCTAACATCCGTGCCCATCTTCCTCTACTTTATATGTGGGACGCCTACCACAGCACAGCTTGCCAAGCGGTGCCATGTCCGCACCCGGGATCCGAACCTGCGAACCCCAGGCCACTGTAGCGGAATGTGCGCACTTAACCACTGGGCCATTGGGCCGGCCCCTGGTGTTAAACTTTTTAGTTCTTAATTTTTCTCTTTCTCCTCTTCTAAGGCAGTGGGAAACACTACATTAATGGTTCTGGCTCCTTCTTGCTTTACTTACTCTTTAAAGGGAGGAAATACTCTCAAGTTTCTACCCACAAACTACTTTCTATATTCCATTCTCATTTACTAGCCGAACTTCAACCTTCTTGTCTGCACGTAACTATCAAGTGTGAACATCAAGTGCCCAAATCTCAATGTCTTTTTGAGAGATTGGGTATTTGCAGGTAGACATCATCAGCACCTCAAACTTAAATGCCCAACCAAACTTAGCCGTTCTCTCCCCACACTCCCTGTATTTCTATTGCTAGGCACTCTCCCAGTCACAGACTCGAAGGTTTAGTTTTTATCACTGCTTATAACCTCTAAAGCTTTGCTACTCAACATGTTCAAGGATCAGTAGAGTAGCACCCATCAGCATCCCCTGGGAGCTTACCAGAAATGCAGAATCTCAGGCCCCACCCCAGCTGTACTGAACTGGAATCCGCATTTTAACAAGATTCCCGGGTGACCCACATGCACATTAATACCTGAGGAGCACTGCTCTAACTTTTATTTTTTTATTTTTTTTAAAGATTTTATTTATTTTTTCCTTTTTCTCCCCAGAGCCCCACCCCCCCGGTACAAAGTTGCATATTCTTCGTTGTGGGTCCTTCTAGTTATGGCATGTGGGACGCCACCTCAGCGTGGTCTGACGAGCAGTGCCATGTCCACGCCCAGGATTCGAACCAACGAAACACTGGGCCGCCTGCAGTGGAACGCGCGAACTTAACCACTCGGCCACGGGGCCAGCCCCTGCTATAACTTTTAGAAGAAAGGGACCATCTCGCTTATCCATGGTACCTTAGCGTATGGGGGTTCTCAGGTTCTTGCTCAATATCTGCCTATGGATGTAACTCTATCAAGTGAATATTGACACATTTGGATCCTATCCCTCTTGCCTTCTATGAATTCCCTTTTGTACTTCTCTTCTCTTCTACAACATCAGTTTCTCCTTCTCCATTGATCATCGCCATCAGCATACATGTCCTGCAAACGGTTTCTTCATTGTCATCAAGAGACACCAACTGACCTGACTGATTTAAGCAAAAGAGGACTTTATTAGAAGGACACTGCCAGTGGAATACCATCCCCTCTAGCACTGGATGCTGGAAACTGCCACTAGCACTGTGGCCAGTATTGCCCCAACAAACTCAAGCTTACCACAGCCAGTGCTGCACCAGGAAGTGTTTCTCCTGATCCCACTTCTTTCCATCCTGGTTCCAGATTCCCCATCCAAGTGGGTATATCTGATGGTTGAAGCCTGAGTCATGTGCCCACACCCTACCGGATAGGGAGTCTGGGAAAGTGAGTATCTGGAATTTTCAGCTTGTACCAAAGAAGGAAAACTCTGCTTCCCACTGAGAGTCATAATTCCATAATTCATAATTTAGGGAATTTTAGGAATTTCCCAAAAATAAAAGGGTTCAGATATGACTGGAAGGCCAAAAAGAATAACACACTTCCACCAGACTCGACTATGATCTTTTTAAAAAGTTCATTTTTCCTTTCCCCCTTTTAGTGAGATTTCTTAAAAAGGTTGTCCACACTTATCTTTATTTCCTCATATCCTACTCACTTTTGACCCATTCCAATCAAGCTTCCGTCTTGAGAAACCATTGTATTCCAAATTCCAGTTCACATTTCTTAGCTTTCATCTAGCTTGACCTTCAACATTATTGGATATTCTCCTGGCTTCCATGGCCTCACTGTCTCCTGGAATTTCTCCTTTCTTTCCAACTACTTCACCTCGACTTCCTTTGCAGGCTCTCCCTCTCCTCTTTCTCTCTCTGTTTGTTCTCATAGCTCTGTTCTTGCCTCTCTTCTTTAACTCCATTCACTCCCTAAGTATTCTCTTTTGATCTCAACCTTTTTTCTGCCTTAAAATTTTTAGAATTCTTAAAATTCTTAAATCTGATCATTCTTGCCTTTAGAAAAAAAAAATATCTGTAGGCTGGTGACCTCTTTGCTGAGCTCTATAGAACTTTGCATCTGCAACTGCCTACTTTGCACTTCTACTTGGATGTCTAATATACATTTTAATTTCAATACGTCCAAAAGACAACTCTTAATATCCCTCTCTTAATTGGTTCCTTTGAAGTCTCTCCAATTTGAGTAAATGGCTTCATCATTCACCTGATGTTTAAGCCAAAAATCTGAGCATCATCCCTGATTTATTTTTCTCACACTCTCATATCCCATTTAACCATGTGTCCTCTATTTTCTACTTCCAACCAGCATCCCAAATTCATTTACAGCTCTCTGTTACCAGCAAGTAGCACCCTAGTCTAAGCCATCATCATTTCTTTCATATAATCATGTTCTCATACGTACTGGCCCGTTTCTTCCTCTCCAGTCTCAACTCACAGTGCTCTCCCCTGTCACCCACACAACTTTAGCTCCACGAGTCTCCTTCATATTCCTCAAACAAGCCAAGCTCTGGGCCATGCCCAAGATTTTGCTTTTCTTTCTTCTGCCTGGAATGCCTGGAATACTAATTCCCACCCCAGCTTATCCCATGTCTGACTCCACCTTATCTTTCCAGACTTACTTGAGTTTTCACCCTCCCTAAAGCAGCCCGCCACCCACCTTATCACATCATCTTGCTTACATTTACTTTATAAAGTATTTAAAACATTCTGTACTTTATTAGCCAGTTTAGAATGCTTACCAGTTTGCAGTGTTTTCCCCCTGACTAGAAGACAAGTTTGATCGAAGCAGAGATTGGGTCTTTTTCACGCATGGCTGTTTCCCTTTAACTAAAAGGAGGAATGTGTGATACATAGTGGGCATTCAATAAATATCTGTTAAATAACTGAATGGATAATAAAGTAAATGACTGATGTCAAATTCCACTGAGATTCCCTAACCTTTGAATTTCTACCCAAATGATTCATCTCTAGTCATCAGTGATAGCTAGTTACCCAAGATAAGTTTTCTTGCTTTATTCATGTACTTTTGATTCTGCCTGGGGTTAATCATTTTTTAACAATAATAATAATAAAATGTTTGGGGAAGCTAGTGGGAAAAGCAAAGGCAATGACGCTGATATATTCAGACTATCTCCCAGCTGATGGGTCAGTATCTAAACAAATGATGTCCACCCATCAATCATTCCTCTACTTCCTGCAATTGAATTTCCCAGGAGGAGTCAGCAGATCCTCTCAATCTTGAAGATTGACAAGAAGTCCCTGTGGACTCCCTAACTCTACCCAAGATGATCGGGACGGGTCCTTGACGCTCAGATTTTAAAAGCCCCACCTTCAGAACAAGACAAGAAAACTCATAGGGAAAGTTACAGTTATTGCAGGTTCTGGAAAGGAGCAGAACATGAAGGTAAGTAAAGGTTTTACTTGAGACTTTTCAGTTACTTTATAAAACACTTTACAGCTTTTTGCCTATTTTATGTTTAATAAGTGTTTTAGAGGCTAAAGGATTTTAAACAATATGCCTTTAAAATATCAAAATCATTTGATTTTATTAAAAAGTTTTTTTCCTGATTCACCTAATTCCTCACTTGAGTTAATGAAAATAATATATTTTTAAATATTTTTTTGAAAAAGAACTCTTTGTGGATTAAATAGAAGGTAAACTGGGGAACTCCCTTCTCCACATACTGAGTATTAAAACAGAAAATAGCAAAAAAGTAAGGAGTTTGTAATTGTCCAGGCGTCAAGGAAGGAAGCAGAAGATTCTACAGGCACAGAAATGATTCTCTTTGATTGATCTTTTCCTGCAGGGATTGAGAAGTCTGGTGGCAACAACCTTGGCTCTTTTCCTGGTGTTTTCTTCCATGGGAAACTCCAGCGGTGCACCGCAGGTAACCAAGTGCACTTGGGGATCCTGGGTGGGCTATCACTCTCTTCCTTCCTCCCTCCCTCCCTCCCTCCCTTCCTTCCTTCCTTCCTTCCTCCCTATCTTCCTTCCTTCCTCCCTTCCTCCCTTCCTTCTTCTTTCATTTCCTCCCTCCCCCTCCCCACCTCCTCCTCCTCCACTGCTTCTTTTCTTTCCTTCCTTTTTTCCTTTCTCTCTCCCTGTCTCTTTCCTCCCTCTCTTCCTCCCTTCTTCCTCCTTGCTTTCTCTTTCTCTCTCTCTCATTCTCTCTCTCCCTCTCCCTCTCTCTCTCTCTCCTCCTCCCCTCCCTCCCTCCATCCCTCCCTTTTTTTTTTTTTTTTTTTCCTAATAGAGGACTAGGCTGTACTGTCTTATTAACTGCTTTTCTCTTCTCCCCGGGTTGCAGAGACTCTTTGAGAGAAGGAATTGGACTCCTCAGGCTATGCTCTACCTGAAGGGCGCACGTACGTTCCAAATACTTTGCTCTTCCTACAGCAATAAAGGGAAGACCCTTAGGGGTGCATGAATCCATGGGACAGACGAAGAACTGTGGGGAGAGAATAATATCGAGTTTGTTCCCTTAAATAATCGAGGTCATCCTCGTCTCAGTTCATCAAGGAAAAGGGACGGGGTGCGGGGGAGGGAAGCGGTGGAAAGGGAGGACCCTCTGATTATTAGAAATCCCCCATCCCAAACTGGAGGGTTGCTGGCTCTGGGCACAGAGGAAGAGTCCAGGGCTGCCTGGGCGGCAACGCCCCGGCTGGGGAGCAGGAGCCCTGCCCCCAAGCCCAGTCGCGGGGCGCGGGCCTCTCCTCCTGGTCCCTTCGCCGGCGCCTGGCTCGGCCCGGGGTCGGAGCGCATGAAACTTGGCACCGGCGCAGATCTCGACCACGAGCGACCGGCCGCCGCCGCTGCCGTCGCCCCGCTCCCGGCCTGGGGACTCGCGGTGCCGAGCGGCTGGTGTCACCCCGATCGCCCGGGCCGGGCGGGCGCTGAGCCCCGTGTGTCGCCTTTGCAGAGGGCCGCCGCTTCCTCGCAGACCAGAGCCGGAGGAAGGACCTCTCCGACCGGCCGCCGCCCGGTGAGTGACCGAGGGACCCAGGGGGCCAGCCGGCGACTTCGGGCAGCACGGAGAGGGCAGGGCGCGCTCCGCCCGGCGCGGGTCGCCAGCGGCTCAGACCGGCCTCGGGCCGCCAGGGTGTGCCGCGGTCCCCAGGGGGCGCTCCAGGGACCGGCCAGGCCGGGGTTCAGCTCTGAGGGGTGAGGAGGGGTGGCCAGAACTGTGCAGCTGCCCCCGGAAATGTCCCTCCCCCTTTACGACAGGACCTTTACACAGTTACCTCTTAAACACCATTGTTGTTGTTACTAAAATATTGTCAAATATTACTAAAATAGAAATTTCAAACCTATGTCTCCATTATATTACTACAAAAAGCAATCAAAAGGTTCAAAGTCAGAAATAGTTACTCAGTGGGGGCCATTAAGAATGGGGCCAGGGACTATTATTTTTCATGATAAACCTTTCCATGCCATTGGATTTAAAAGATAACAATATAATTAATTTTGATACATATTAAAGGTTGAAATGCTAAAAATAAAAAGTATACAACTCATTTTGGAAAACACCAAACACTGTGTTGAGCACAGAGTAGTTGCTTAACAAATGTTTGTTTACCTTCAAGCTTGCAGGGTCGTTTAGCTTATTTACTTTATGAGAAGATTTGTTTTCCCACCACAGCTGCTCCGATGGTTTGTGTTGAATCAGGAAAGTTTTTCTTCTGTCAACTTAGATTTGAAGTCATTTTGAATATTTCGCAGATACTCCTTCAGTCAAATAATTGCCTTTACACGTGGGAAGATGGTAGCTTATCTCATCTTATCGTTGGAAGTGACAAGAGAGGAAGTAGTCCAGGCGCCGTGCAGGATCACATTTCAACCTTTCTGCCCAGACATCCCATATTTATCTCTGAAGGGTGACAATTTTCAAACGCTCTCAATCTTTCTGTGTGTGTGTGTGTGTGTGTGAGGAAGATTGGCCCTGAGCTAACATCTGTTGCCAATCTTCCTCTTTCTGCTTGTGGAAGATTATTGCTGAGTTAACATCTGTGCCAGTCTTCCTCTAGTTTATGTGGGATGCCGCCATAGCATGGCTTGATGAGTTTGTGAATTTAACCACTAGCCACCAGGCTGGCCCTGCAAGCACTCTTAATCTTAATCCTCCTTGCTTTCGCGAAATTCTCTGTAGTATATAGTTTAAATTATCTTCTGTGCCCTGTAATACACAACATAACCAATCGTAAGTATTGTCCAAGAGAAATGTGAAAATGTTTCAAATTATAAAAATCAGCCTTTACTGATTCACCTGCGGCCGGTGGCATAGTGGTTAAGTTCCCACACACTGCTGTGGGGCCCTAGGTTCTGATCCCAGTTGTGGACCCACACACTGCTCCTCAAGCCACGCTGTGGCGGCATCCCACAGGGAGGAACCAGAATGACTTACAACTAGGCTACACAACTAAGTACTGGGGCTTTGGGGAGGAAAAAAAGAGGAAGATTGGCAGCAGATGTTAGCCCAGGGCCAATCTTCCTCACCAAAAAAAAATCTGTTTCACAGAGGTTTTCCTAGTATTATAGCATACTGGAATATAATTTGTGTATATGAATATTTAAATACTAATAGACTATGTATACATTTTTGTTTCTCCAGAAAGACGAAGCCCAAACTCCCAACTACTGACTCTTCCAGAGGCGGCAGCTCTGTTACTGGCTTCCTTGCAGAAACTACAAGAAGGTACAAGTATAGTGACCTCTTTCAACTGCAGACAGAGAAGCTTTGATTACTTTTGAAATTCTATGTTAAATACAACAAAGTTACTTTTATTTATTCTGCTTTTTAAAAATAATTAACAGTTACCACCCCCTCCCCCAGAAATTCACAGTGATGTTTATTACATAAAGACCAGTATATTTCTCACTAAAGTAAGTCCCTGAAACTTAAAAACATTTCCTTGGTGAGACTGGGACATTTCCTATGAATTCCACAATCTATAGCCTATTGTAACCTTTATTTCTCTTAGAACTCTAGAATAAAAAGCTCAGAGTCCAACTATAAACAGCTTTGTTTTATAGTTAAAAAAACTGAGACCAAAAGAGGTTTAAATAATTGCAAATCCAATTACTCACTGTTAAAGGTTGAACCCAATGAAAATGCTGAAAATCAACTATTTTTACTTACAAACAGAGCAGTTTCATATGGGTCACCTTCATGGACATGGGTCAGTTTTGATTCTAAGCCTGTGTAATTTTCACACACTGTACAGTTTCTTCTATACCAAGATTAGGTGTAATCTCCAAATAGGGACACTGTCCACGTAGCATTAAAACTAGTGGATGAATTACTGTGTCTCAGTAACAGATTAGCAAGGGTCTTGGAGTATATAACAGGACTGGGTTCAAATCCTGGCTTTGCTGCTTTACCAGCTAGGTGACCATGAGCCTTAGTATCATTATTGGTAAACCGGAATAATGATATTCATGGGCAGGAATGCCATGAGAGCCAAATGAAGCAAGGTATAGTCATGTGACACATAATGACATTTTAGTCAGTGATGGACCACATATATGACACTGGTCCCGTAAGATTAGTACCAGATAGCCTAGGTGTGTAGTAGGCCATACCATCTAGGTTTGTGTAAGTACCATGGAGGAGGAAGAAATTTTCCTCTAGCCTTCTAGGTTCTTCTGGCTGGTTTAAGAATTAAATTGACATGAGACAGATTAACAGGAGAAAAATAGACCAAAGTTTAATAACATGGATACATGGGGGAAACTCAGGAAAACTGAGTAACTCACCAAAATGGCTGAAGCCTTCAACCTAAATACCATCCTCAGATAAAGGCAAAAGATGTCGCGGGTTGGGAGAGTCAGGGCCCTCAAAGGGAAGGAAGGCAACTCACAGGTAGGTGAAAAGGAGCAAACGTTTGAAAAACAAGTGTTTGACCACAGAGAGACAGAAGAACACAGAGGGGAGCCCAACAAACAGGCTTTTCTAGGTTCCTCCATGTCTCCCACTTAGTTCATGTTACGTTAAGGTGATAGCTGCTTCTTGAGATAGGTTTTTTTAATCTGAATTCTTTTAGTCAGTTAAGGGAGAGGTAATAGGAAAAACTTTCTGAGTCTTTCATGTCTTAAAAATGCTCAGCTGAAAATAATCCTCATGTTAAAAAGCCACATTTTTGGGGTGGCAAATTTTGTTCCCCTTCAGTACACTCTATGATGTTCGCACAACAACGAAATTGCCTTATGACACGTTTCTCAGAACATATCCCCATCGTTAAGCAACACGTGTCTGTACATAATTTTTATTACTATTTATAATAGAGGTCATCAAACCATAATAAATAGACCTAGAATTTTTCCTTTCAAAAATTGTAGTGTTGCCATATTTATAACAATTTTAATTTTAAAATGTATAAAAAAATATAGTGGTGATCGGGTGGTCAAAGTACGGGCTGCTGGCCTAGTGCTCTGACACTAGGGCCAATGAGAAAGCACGTGTGCTCTGCGCCTAGTATTGGACGGGCTGTGTGAGGGAGGGGAAGAGCGCTGGCTTCAGGTTATGACTTCGTTGTGAAAAAATACCAATCAGAAGCCAATGGAAGAGAGTGGGATAAAGGGGTCTTTTGAATTCACAGCAAAGCCAGGGCTGACTTGGGTGAGTAGGGGGGATTATAAAACTTAATTCAGCAAATATGCATTTCTGCCTGTTGGATGCCAGCACTGTGGCAGGCAGAGAAGAAAACAGATTAAGCAAAAGCAAGAGTGAGAGTGGCCTGTGCAGTGAAAAGATAGGGGGAGCAGTCGGTGGAATAGCGGAATGTAGGAGTCGTGTTATGACAGAGCTATGAGAATGGCTACCACTATTACTGCTACCTCTAGCTGATAATTATTGAGGGTTTGCTATAATGCAGTGTGTCAGGCGCTGTTCTAAGCACTGGATGTGGATTAATGCATTTAATTCTCACAGTAGCTCTAAGAGGTAAGCACCCTTATTATCCACAATTTACAGATGAGGAAATAGAGGCACAGAAAAATTAAATAACTTGCCTACTATCACATGACAGGTACATACTGGAAGTGGCATGAAGAACCGAAGATGACTTATTATTTATCTGAGAATCAATAAGATGCGCTCTGGATTTTCAGTAGAGAGATGACATTGTGAAGGAAGATGAGTCTGGTTATGGGATATACGGTAGCAACAAGAGTCATAACAATAGCTACAATATGGGAATCTCTACTGAGTGTCAGATATTAAAGCTTATCTATTAATTAATCATTGCTGTTGCTAATTAATTGATGCTAATAGCTCAGAAAACTGGACTTTCCAGGTGTGTTTACTTTCCTAAAGTCACACAGTCAGTAAGAAGTGATATTGGGATTCTAACTCAGGTCTGTGTGACTCCACAGCTCTTTCAATTATGCCATGCCACCTCTCAAGTGGATTGTATTGAAGAGGAAAGGCTGGAGAGGAGAATCAGTCAGAAACCAAGGAAGTAAGGCAGGAGTGAAGTGATGAGGTCCAGTCAGTCAGTGGGAACAGACAGAGAGGTTCCATTCTGAGGTATCCAGGAAGGAAGAAAGATAACATAGGATAACTATTTGCTAAAACTATAGAAGAATCCAGAGTTTAAGCACATTTTTAAGTGTTTTGTGTAAGCATTTAAAATTGTGATGCTGATACGATATGAAAATTTCTGTGGATATAATTCAGGTTCAGGTTGAGGTGACAGACATTCCAGTGAATAAAGGTGTAGAGGTCGGTGATTCTCTACTATCCATCTGTAGACTGGCTCCATCAGAGTTAACTAGAGAGCTGGCTGAAAATAAAGATTTCTTAGCCTTAGGCCCAGAGATTCTAATTATGTACTACTTGAGTGAGGCCTCAGAATCTGCATCTTTAAGAAATTCCTCAAAACTATTCCCATGATCAGTCAGGTTTGGGAACAACTGGAAATTCAGAGCCAGTTAATAATAAAGGTTGAAACCATGAAAATGGAAATCACTCCCAGGCCTCCGATGTAGTGGGAGAAGGGCAGAAAATAAAGGATTACCTTGGAGAATACTCAGAGATCAAGAAGACAGTGAAATCAGTGAAGGGACATTAAAAGGAGCTGGCAGAAATGTTAAGAGGAGAACCAGCATAACAGAGTCCAGAAGTCAAGGAGGGAAAGTTTCAAGGAAGGAGTGATTAGAAATGTCAAATGTAGCAGAATGCTTAGTAAGAATACAGATATCAAGGGCAAAAGAAGATAATCGTGGCTAGGAAGGGTCACTGAACAGCCGTTTACAAGACTTCCGCTCAGCCCTTGCCCAGTGACACAATTTGCTGCTGCCATGCCCTTTCTGACACCTTGTCCAGAGGCAATTTGGGACAAGAAAGTGAACTGCAGAGCTAAGAGAAAGAAGGTACTAGCTGACGTGGCTCTCAGAACTCTGGCAATGAAAAAGTGAGAAATAGTTGAATAACAGGTAGACGATGCTGCTGCATTCAAGGTGATCTTTCCTAAACTCCACTCTTGGCACACTTCCTGATCCTTGAGGTCAGTAGGAGGAAAGTGCTGGTGGAGACAGGTTGATGGTGAAGGTTTAGATTTGATTGCTGGAAAATGTGCAGAGCCAGAAAGGAAAGCGAGCTAGAATGGAAAAAGGGAGAGCTAATTTTCAAGTCAGGGAGAGGGATCTTCATTAGAAACCTTAGGGGAAGGATATGATTATACATCCCTGTTTCACGTCTTGTTTGAAAAATAAATTTTTTTAATTACTGAAGTTTCCTAAGTGGCTTGTCTCTGATAATGAGGTAAGGAAACAAAATTTTATTAATCTAAGTTGATGAAAAGTATCAATGCAAATAATCCATAACCAATCTATAAATGAAAATTTGGAGTGAGTTTATTGTGAGCCAAAATGTGAGGACCATACAGCCCAGGGCCTTCCTTTCTGAAGGAAGGAAGGGCACCAAAGAAGTGGGGTGTACAGAGTGGTTAGATACCCTCAAAGAGCATGTTTCACATATGATTGAAATGTCACTTTTACAATAGTCATGAGACTCCTCTGTCGGCACAGCGATTGATGGACACGGCAGGTAGTAGGTATGCTGTTTCGGTGCACACAGCAGGGAGCAGATCTATTGTGGGGTGAGCACAGCAATCAGTTCCTAGCCTAGGGAAAGATGCTTATCATTAAGGAAATGCCAATGTGGGGGAAGTTGCACCTTTTTCTTAAGGCCATTTGTTCTTGTCTGTGGGACAAAGCAAATACTTAAAGCAGATATACAATGCGTGCTCAACGGCCATGTCAGGTCCTTTTGGAAAAACAAAGTCAAGCCAATTAGGTTTACACCAAATGGCTTCCTCATATACTCCAATATATCCTACTGCTTGTCATTTCTGTTCGTCAAAAGTCATAGATTCCTGTATGATGTATTAATCACTAGTCATCTTTGCTATTTTTATTCTAAAGTCTCTATGTATTATTGGGAAGGCTCTTATTTTATGTGGTGGATTTTTATTTTAGTGAAGTATATAGAGGGATGCCTTTCTTGCTGTTTTTTTTTCCCCCTCCCTTTAAAGAGCAACCCATTATCTGCAATATTTCAAAATGTGCTAGCAGTTCAGGTTAAAAGTTAACCCAGACGTTCAAATGATATTGGAACTAACTGAGGGAATGTGGTTTTATCTGGAGATGATCTCAGAGAAAATTAGGAGAAGCATTTTGCTTCTGGAAGCTCCCTCTCCCTACCCCATTGTGGGTTTTAGCCTTTCTACCTATTTTTAGAGTCCCAGAAACTGCTATCACCTGACTCAGTTATCCCTCCCCAGATGTGATTTCCCATGCTCTGAAGTTTTGCAATCCCGTACAGCTAACAAGGGTCTCTTCTTTTTGTCTCATTTCCTCCCTAGACCTCCAGCTCAGCTAATAAGGGAATATTTGCAAAAGTGTTCCTACTTCATCTTTCCCAAGAAAGCTTCATTTCAATAGGAAATAGAGACAGTACCTTGATAGAAGCCAATGGTTCTAATGGTGGATATTTAGACTTGAGACATACTTACAGCAAGACACGTGGCCTTTTCAGATTTCTACCAAACATACCACATTTTCGTTTCATTCATTTTGGAGATTCAGATTTGAAATGTGAATACTCCCATGTATCCCAAGCTGAGGGGGAAAATTTTAAAACCAAATCAATGAAAATCCAACTTTTTGGATTTTCAGTAGCAGAGTGCACAAGCTAACATAACTTAAGGGACTAAATGTTTATTTCCTGAGGTTCTCTTCAAATATCTTTTCTCCTTTTAAAACACAGGCTGGGTGTTTATTTTGTATAATTTTTTTTTTTTTTTTTTTTTTTACAGCTGGAGAAGAAAATTTTGATCAAACCAGATTCCTAGAAGACAGTCTGCTAAACTGGTGAAAATAGACCAGATTACATTCAATTACAGTTCTGTTCTTGCTGAAAAGATGAACCACGTGAATAAAACCCGCAGACCCTTTTACTTCATTTGTAATCTTAGGAACACGCACAGCTAGATTTATTCTTCTGGATGCAAAATAATGTAGAGTTCTTAGCAGAGAACTTCATTGCCTTCTTTCATTGCTTCCAGTCCTGTTTAGATCACTTTGTGTCTTACTCTTGAATTTTTTAGAGCATTTTTGATTGTAAGGCTGAAGACCCTTTAGACTGTCTTTTGTTAAAACAGATATCCATTTTGGTCTAATAATTCCTAGCGGTTGCTTTTTTCATGCTGTCACCCACTTGCATTGTCTTGTCACTCAGCAGTAAATCTCCCTTTCCTTCTCCCCTTTCCCATCCCCAGGGAGAGTGAGGGAGAAGCATAGTGGGATGGGAAAGAACAGAGTGTGATTCTCTTAGCAGTTATCCAGGAGAGGTAAGTTGTTAAGAAGGGAAGTGGGAGCGGGTGAGTGGGCAGGAGGCCTGTGGTAGAACGCTTCAGTGTGGCTGCTGAGAGAGGTGGCTAGAGGTGAGGCTGGAGCAGGTGGAAGCTTCGCTGATGTTCCACAGCCAGGAGCTCCCCCCTGTGTTCTTTGGAGACCTCCCCGACTTTAGACACATGGGTCTAAAAGTTACTGGGAAATAAGCAAATGGAGACACACTCTGCTCCTGTGTACATTGTACAAAAGGAACAAACCAGTTTTTTAGAGGTAACCCATTTTCCATGGCTAAACAAACTCAAAGACTGCCTACTCCAATTGACTAGAACTCTAGTCTTTATTTGACATCAAACATTACATAAAGGCACCCTGATAACGTAAGTGCGTGGTAATATCCCTAATTTGTTTCTTTTCAAAGTCAACTTGGGTTCAATACTATCTGAAAAAAAGAAAAAAAATATATATATATGCACATACATACCTACAGCAAACACAATAATATATTTATTTGGAATTATGACTATCATGTTAATTATTTTTGACCTAATTAATTGAGAATATTATTCATAAATACCATAAGTGGAAAGTATTATTAATTCTTACTATCATCAGTATATAGCCATTATTCAGTACTAAGGAATATTTTTGTGTGAATGCCTTTGTAACTTGGAATTACAGTTTCATTGTGTTGTACAGTCAAAACTGTGCTTATAAGATTTGTCTGTATCTTGTTTCATAATTGAGTAACGAAACTATATTCAAGTTAATGTAAATTGACCTCTGTTGAAAAAAATATGCTAGCATTAAAAAAACCTGTGGTATCATAATAGGCAACTGTCCTTAATTATAATTTGATTTTAAAGTGGATTTTTCTGAACAGTGCATATGTCCAGTTTATTGAGAATTATTTATTCAGTTCACAAAGACTTGTATATATTGGCTATTTAGATATTATGCTTAGTCCAAGAATACTTTTCTTTTGTTTTTGTTTTGTTTTTGGTGAGGAAGATTGTCCCTGAGCCAGTCTTCCTCTATTTTTTATGTAGGACGCCTCCACAGCATGGCTTGATGAGCAGTGGGTAGGTCCACTCCCAGGATCCAAACCTGCAAACCCCGGGGTGCCGAAGCAAAGCATGCAAACTTAACCACTAAGCCACCAGACCAGCCTCCCAAGAACACTTTTTAAATCTAGCTTATGAAAAAACTAATTCCCACAATTAACTAGAACCATCTCAAGTATTTCACGCTAAAACAGAGTTTTTAGAAGCTTTCTAAATGACCAATAGCTGTTAAAATACTATCAGCTCCAAGTATTATAGGGACTTGAAAACCTTGAATGTTCTGCCGTACAGCTGTTCTGATGAACACAGTAGGTGCATAAAGGCCCCTCTGCCCAGTTTGCTGTAACTTTCTATCTCCCTTAGGGTGTCTTTGCAATTCTCTTTATTTCTATCTTTTTCAAAACTGAAATGAACAAGTGATCAGCAATCCAAAAATTTTCACATGGTATAGCTTGTATTTTAAAATTGGGAAATATCTGCCTCGAACACATGTCCAGGTACTCAGGCCCCCTCACCTCTAGACTGGACTTGCAGCCACTCTCAGCACAACTGCAGCTGCTCTTCTCCTCTTTGCCCTGTATCCTGCCTCCCCTGTGGTTCTCTGGCCACCAATGTGGGCTCTCAAGTATTTTTTATTTCCCTGGGGTTCCCCAGTGGATGCTTCCTCTCTTCCCATACCACCATTGTGATCCTGAGAGAGGCGAGAAGGCGAAGAGGCTCTGCCATGTTAAAGTCAGCTGCCAACTAGCATTTCTTCTTTACCTGGTTATGAGAAATAAAGGTCTATATCCTATCAACCTTGAGTTACATTATTTTACTTTGGCTGCAGGAGAAAGGGGAGTTGGGAATATAACCTGTTGGTCTTGTCCTACTGGACCATAAATTCCTTTAGGAAGAATTCGTTTCTCATTTGATTTGAGATTTACAAGCACCATGTAAAGGTGGCAGTCGTATCCCCCACATTACTTCGTAGAAATTTAGGCTCGTCTTAAATGAGCCTCTTTGGACTTTCCCAGGTTCATTTGACCAGTCCCTCTTCTGAGTTCTCCTTGTGCCTTGGAAAACTGTTAGAATAGCACTTGTAACATTTTATATTCTCATCAGTTTATGTAAAACCAGCTCTATTCACCCTAACTCTTAATGATGGAAGGAAGGATGGTACAATGCATTAAAAAAAGTCCTGCTGTGAGCTGGTCAGGCATACACAATTTTCTATAGTTTCTGTCCTCCAACTTATGAATATGTGCATTTTTTAAAAGCATCCATTTTTTTGTACCTCTATTTCTCCCAATTAGACCATTCATTTATGCAACTGCTATGTGTAAGGCATTGCGCAAGGCGCAGTCATCTGCTAATAACCATATTTGTTGCTCCTTACTGGGCTTTGTCAATCTTGGAGAAAGGATAAATATATGGCAGGAGCAAGGGGATGCAGCTCAGTGGTCGCAGTAGAGGACCGAGTGCTGGGCAGAAACCCTGATTCCCACACATGCCACTCAAAACCAGGTGTTTGCAAGTCAGTTAACTTCCGTGTGTCCTATCATTTGTATGCATTTCTAATCAGACAACTATTCTTTCACTTTAAAAAAAGCTCTTGAATTTTGAAATTTTATATTAAGAAGGTATTTTACGGAGTAGCTCATGCTTTCACTAACAGTGGACTAGCCAATTACCAACCAAGAGTATCATCTGAATATACACATTGTGTCACTTTACTAGGAATACATTTTCATGGTTATCGTAACAGTGAAACTCCCTTTTATTATGAGATCTTTCTGGCAGTTCAGCAAACGAGTATTTGTGTTGTAAGACAAATCCATTTCATTTTTTTTCTGACATTCAGTGCAGAGCTTTCCAAAGTATTCTGCAGACGCTGGGTTAATTGGCACCCACAGGGCATTTTTCAAGGATTAGGCTTTAGGTAATTGATTTCCCTTCTTCCTGAACCTCTAAATGAGGTGAGTTTGCAATTTTGGCCTGATTTGTTGCTTGTATTCATCATTTTTCTACTTTTTCCTAACAATGGGGCAGTAGGAGAGCTGGATTACAGTTTTCCATTGGGCTTGAACCATCTGACACACCATCATTGTTACTCTAACCTGGTGCCATCAACAATCCAGCACTGAGAAAACCAAAACTTTTTAGAGCCTCCACAGACCTAGGCCAATTGATAAACCAACCGAGGTATCAACTGTGATCTAAATGTAACAATACTCAGTTTTTAAAAAAACAATCCAAGAGTGGATGTGGTGATTTGGGGTTTTGTTTTTGCCGATTTAGATTTAATCACATTTAAAACATAAATATGTTTAACTATAATCATTCAACAGTGTTGCTAAACATATTGTGAATAATCATTAGTATATTTAGGTAGACTCTATATTTTCTTTTTTAAAAGATAGTCGTAAATGTTATCCTTCCTAAGGCACTATATTACATAGCAGGAGCTTTACACGTCATTATCTTATTTAAATGTTTAAAAGAATTTTATTTTATTTTACTTATTTATTTATTTGGTGAGGAAGAGTGGCCCCGAGCTGTTGCCAATCTTCCTCTTTTTGCTTGAGGAAGATTATCCCTGAGCTAAGATCTGTGCCAATCTTCATCTATTTTTTATGTGCTAAGATCTGTGCCAATCTTCATCTATTTTTTATGTGGGATGCTGCCATAGCATGGCATGATGAGCAGAGTGTAGGTCGGCACCTGGGATCTGAACCCACAAACCCTGGGGCTGCGGAAGGAGAGCACACGAACTTAATCACTATGCCACCTGGCTGCCCCCTAAAAGGATTTTAAACAAGACATTATCAATGAAAGTTAAATCTTTAAATATTGATATATTTATTCATTTGGATTTAACAATTTATCATCTACGGAAAATTGACCAAGTTTTCAAAAAGGCTTTCCTTTTAAACAATAGAAAAATCATTACAGTCAGATGGTACTGTACACACGGCAACATCTTTCCTATCATTAATTTGAGAAGTGAATGTGTAAATATGCGTCAACATGCATCAAGGTCTGGATTTAGGATAGCCATTTTCTTATGGATTTTGATTGTCTGCAAAGCAAAATATGAATTCATGGTTCTCATGTGAAAGGTGGAAATAATCACTAAAGACCGAGTTATTTAAAATGTGTAGGTAGTGCACATTAATGGTTAAGATCAGGCTCCTTTGTGGGGGAAATGGCAGACTGGGTTGGTAAGGTATAGAAGCTGTATAAATACTAAGCAACGATTATGGTGATCGTAATTTAAAATTAAACACTAGTAAATGAAAATTCTTACTGCTTAAATTAACTATTTTAAAAACGCTTCCAGAGGTCAGCCCCCATGGCCAAGTGGTTGGGTTTGTGCACTCTGCTTCGGCAGCCTGGGGTTTGATGGTTTAGATCCTGGGCATGGACCTAGCACAGCTCATCAAGCCATGCTGAGGCGGCATCCCACACTGAGGAACTAGGGGAACCTACAACTAGGATATACAACGATGTCCTGGGGGGCTTTGGGGAGAGAAAAGAAAAAGAGGAAGAGTGGCAACAGATGTTAGCTCTGGGCCAATCTTCCTCACAAAAAAAACAAACAAAAACCAAAAAACTTCCAGTCTTCCTCCCTCAATTAACACTCTTTCCCATGCCTAATTTTACTGGGGAAAAAGAAGTTGGGGACAATAACATGAATTTTATTGTAAGTTACAAAATTGCCCATCACTTAATCTCCTCCACTTTTTCGGCAGAAAATAAATTCCGTTGTAATACTCAGAAGAAAATGAAATTGGGGGCATTTTCATTTCTTTAAATATTCATTCTTACTGTGTTCTTACTACGTTAGCCCTGTCGGGAGGCGTGGGCTTCAGTTCTTGTATTCGCCGTGCAGCTTCTTCTTCCTGTGGTGAACATGACTTAGAGCAAACGGTGACTTGATGTTTAAGCGATCCCTCTCCGCCTCCTCTTCCTCATCGTATCGCTCATCCTCATCTTCATCCTCCACATCACTGCTCTGAGGACTGGAGACCTGAGACCCCGAAGGGGAAGGTGGTACTGAGGAAGGCCTGGGATATTTAAATCCTTCTGTCTGTCAAAGAGAAAAATAAGACAGACATTATAATGACTTCTGGATTTTCAACAATGTAAACACTATGCATGTGCATTTAATGAAAAACATAGTTGGATGTATTTTTTGGTCAGTTTAGGGGCTATTAACTTTGATTCTGCTACCACCAAGGTCAAGAAAGATTCATGACGTAAACAGCTACCCTTTATTAAGCACTGAAATATGCCAGGTGCTATACATATGTTACCTTATTTAATCATTGTAACAACTCTGATAAATTTGTTCTTCCCATTTACAAAAGGAAATTGAAAGTTAGAGAGGACAAATGACTTGCCCAAGGTCACACAGCAGGTAAGTGGTAGAGCAAAGCTTTGTACCAGGGCGGTGATGACTCCAAAGCCTTTAATCTCAACTGCCATATTACACTGCTGACATTGTCAGACTCTATGTCATCCTTCAGATCTGCTCGATGAAATTGCATGACATGGGCAGCCTGGACGTACATGTGTGGACAGCCACCATTAGAAAGAATCCTGGAAGCCAGGCCACTTAGCTGACCCTGAAATTCCACCAGTCACTTTTATTTCAGTTAATGAGCAAGTATCACTAGGTTTTAATCAAATTGCCCTTCTACCTAAGCTTCACTGAGATAACTTATTTGCTAAGCATACTAAGCACCAACTATGAGTTAGGCACCATAATGCCACTGAGGAAA